CTTTTGCCTCTATTTACTACTATTTTCCATGGCTATTTTAAATGTATATGATTTGGCTTCAGAACACGATGGTGCGCGACAAATATGTTATTCACATCAGATGATAGTGTCCTGTTCGAAACCATGCTTTTCCGGAGACGTCGAACAATTTTTCTCTTTTGCCTCTATTTACTACTATTTTCCATGGCTATTTTAAATGTATATGATTTGGCTTCAGAACACGATGGTGCGCGATTTTTTTTTTCCTTTTTATGCTGAAAATTTAACTCTTAATAATGATCTTGGAACATGTTAGAAAAACCAAGAAAATAAAATTTAAGGAACTGAAATCGGACTTAAATTCCGACCACAACCGAACACCGAAAAAACCAAAACTTTCGAATATAATTTCGAATATACTCTTAATAATTTAAAGAAACCTTCTTGTCTAGATAACTTATATATTAAAATGTACTTAATCCTTATAACTTATCAATTAAATCATATAAGTCACATAAAAATACTTAGACAATTAATAGCATTTAGTCGACTAACTCGATTTAATGCAAAACGCTTTCGATTTCACTTTAATGTCGAGCAAAATGGATCGATTCCATTTATTAACTGAACGGGGCGTTACATACTTTTTCATTGCAGGTTTGCTAAAATGGTATGGAAGATGTCGCCTCTAAGCTGGAATGGTCCTTCAGGCAGAAAGACTTTTAAATCATGGTGGTGGAACATATGTCAGCTGGACAAGAGTGAGACATCCGAAGCCCGCATACAACTCTCGACGTACATCCTTTGGTGGTTGTGGAAGTCTCGGAACTTGTGGGTATTTGAAGTGATCAGAAGACCTGCCCATTCCCTGGTAAAGGTAGCAACCCAGCAGTGGCAAGCGTTCTTGCAGCAAGGAAGGTGACAGGTTGTGTGTTCTGTTAGTTATGTCTCATAGTTGATCTGGTTTTCTTGTTGTTTAGTTGCCTTAGTGGTTTTTGTATTCTGTAGTATTGGTGTGGTTTGTATGGGGTTGAAGGTTCGGTCGTGTATGACTGCTTTGATCCCATGTTGGTTGAGGTTTGTCCGTCTAGGGTGTTGTGGTTTTTATTTTCTAGCCCACATGTGCGTGGTGCTCCCATTTCCCGACTTGTGGGTTCTTGTAAACTCTTTGTTATTTGTTATGAGCATTTCTATAGTTTGGGAAAAAAAAAAAACTCTTCAATCTCGCATAAAGCTACAATCTTTTATTTTTTTTATTTTTTTAAGCATAAACAAGAGGATAAAAAAGTGGATCTAAAAAAATTTCTCCAATTTTTTAGTGGTGTTCTACAAGTAAAAGATTACCTCAAACAAAATATGAGACCCTCCTTCTAGCGTCAAACTGTTAGATATCAATAATAGTACCAACACAAATATATTTCTTGGATTTTGTTATGAAAATGAAGAACCAAAATCATTATAGACGAAGACCCTTTTTCTTTTATTTCTTAAGAGAATTATTGACTTCTTTCTTTGTTTTTTTCATTGATCAGAAAAAAGAACCCCCCCTATAATTGAGGGCCCCCTCTTTTATATGGTCCCACAAGTGAGCCTTTACATGATTTAATAACAGTATAATAATGTAAGTGTAATAAATAAGATGTGACCGCGTAGGGCCCAGTAATTATGCTGACGGATGCGACTGACGTTTTATCTTGTCGACGATATTGACGTCCGCGAGAGTCGACTTTTCTACGAGATTCGGGTTAGCCGATCACTTTAAATGCTCAGCTCGAAAGTGGAAGCGCTCGATATCTGTAGCTCGGCAAGTTCCGGATTGGTTCTGAAAACATGTTTTTTGTATATTTACTTATTACATATTTTAACCCTCGTTTATATATCCACGTGTTATGTTTCTATTAATCGTGGCTAAATTGGGTATCAACAATACATAAATATTTCCAACAAAATAGGACACATAAATTGTTTCCAAAAAGTAGACAATATTTTGACATACAATTTTGAAAATTAAAGTCCACGATAAGAAACTAAAAAAGTAGGACAAGTTTTAGGGCATACAATTTTAAAAACATAATTTCATGCACAATGATAAAAGTCAATTTTAAACTTTATTCAAAGAAATTCCTCTATAAATAAGTCAAACTATTTAAACAAAATGTCAACTTTCTACTTTTGAATTAAACATCAATCTCGTTCAATATATATAGATTATAACTTTATAATTGATTTTATTATGGAAATTTTGAATCGAATTTAAAATATTAGTATGATGTAATTTGTGAAGTTGCAAAATATACGAGCAACATTGAAAAGTTGATATAAAAAAATATTTTGAGTTAAAAAATGATTTGGGTTGAAAATGAAGTAGTGAGTTTGAGAATAAATTTTTGAGTTGGAGATGATGAGATAGGAAATCTAATGTGGTAGACGGTGATTGATCCAAATCACAGTTCCCGGTACTGGACAATCTTTCAAACCTCAAAAGACCACACCAAAAAGGGAAAAGAAAAAAACGAAGATAATTATTTAAAGGACAAATATCAGTACATCACTTCCATATCGTTCTTGGTAAAATTTAGAGGTGAAGGGATTACTAGTGAAACGCAAAGGCACTCTTCCGGAAGGTTAATTTTCCTCCTGGATGATTACAATTATCATTTATTTATTGTTTATTATTTTTTTATAGTTGTACGTTTAGAAATTTCCTTATTGAGTTTTGCATACACATTGTAAAAGATGTTTGAACGGGATATCAAGTGAAGCTGTATGGCGAAGATGGGAATAGTGTCCAAGAACTTATTTGCAACTTCCAATGAAACAATAATATGGCGACAGATAATTGGGTGTGGCAGTTGTGGTTCATAACGAATTTTTTAATAATCAGATTCAATTTTTGTTCCGAAAGCTAGACGGCATGATTCATAATTTCAAATATTCACGCCAACCTCATTTTTTGGCCTATTAAGGATGATTATTGTTGTCGTACATGAACTAACAACATTTCATTGAAAATTTTTCTTAATACCTATATTTTATTTATAAAGGTGCTGATAAATCCATCAAATGCTGGAGGATATGGTCTCTGTAGAAGCTTAGGTATCAATCAATACATTGGTGGTGAAACTTGCAAAAAAAATGGGTCTCTTGGACCTATTTATAGCTTCAACTATTCCTGTAGTGAAAGTGCTTTTGGTGACTGGACTCGGATCTTATCTTGCTCTAGATCACGTCAGCATTCTGGTTCAGGATGCTAGAAAGCATTTGAATAATGTAAGTCTGAGTATTTTTTTATTTGTTACAGGATGAATATTTTTTTGTCAGTCTACTAAATGCATTCTGCAAACAGATTACCTTCTTTGTGTTCAATCCTGCACTTGTCTCTAGCAACTTAGCCAAGACAATAACATATGACAGCATGGTTAAGATGTAAGCTTCTTATTTTGACTTGTAAAGCTAGCTATCCTTTGATTCTTTTATCCATCCGTAAAAATCTCTTGCAGTATAAATATTTTTGTAAGCTCCAGGTTAATTTTGCAGGTGGTTCATGCCTTTTAATATCCTCTTCACGTTCATAATTGGCTCCATTTTTGGTTGGCTGCTCATTCAAATAATAAGGCCTCCTCCTTATCTGCGTGGTCTAATTATTGGTTGTTGTGCTGCAGGTATGATTTTACTAAATATCAAAATAAAAAAAAATAAAAAAAAAAAAAACAAAATATGGGTGCATGNTGTTGATGTTTTTTTTTCCCCACGACACATCCTTGGATCTCTTATACGGTTTTATTTAAGCTAACATTAAACTCTTTTTGTAACAGAATTTGAAAGAATTGAATGAGTCTGATATATAGTTATCTATATGTCAACAGGCAACTTAGGAAACCTCCCTCTGATTATAATCCCTGCAGTTTGTAAAGAGAGAGCGAGCCCTTTTGGAGATCCTGATGTTTGTCGCACTAATGGAATGGGCTATGCTTCACTTTCAATGGCAGTAAGTTTCAATATGTAACTAATACAGATCCAAAGGAAAAAAAAAAATAAAAAATTGCTGCTCTATGGACATTGAGAATAAATATGAACAAGTAATAGATTTTTAAGTGGATTTCTACGTATCTTATCAGAAAACACGAAGGCAGTTCATTGAATTGATTTCTATGGATTTCGACTTATTTGATTTTATGCGACTTGTTGATAACAGATGGAATTTTAATACATTGTTTCATGTTCCTTGTTCGTATATGTGCTTCAGATAGGCGCAATTTATCTGTGGTCATATGTATATAATGTAGTTAGAGTCTCTACAATAAACTCAATGGAAGTTGAAATAGTGGACTCTCCTGTGAGTAAGTCCCGAAGAGAAGGGTCATCTGCTGGATCAGCCAGTAATGGGGCAAGAGAACCTTTACTTGATTCAAGCGATGAAGAGAGTGAAATTATACTTACTTTGCCACCAGATAGGTTTGGGAATAGACTACAGGTAGTTTGTCTTTTTCTAATATCGTTGTATCTTTATATCATTACATGTAAGAAAATATTGATTAAAATCCCAAAAATCGCTGGATTAGTAGAATAACAGTAGTACTTGAAGGAGGAATTTAAGAAAACCACGAATACAAAGAGAAAAGAACGAAGAAAAACATGCATTCTTCCAAAACAATTTTCCTGGGGGAATTGAAAATGACACTAGAGAAGTCCTAAATATTTTTCTTCTAATATTTGTGTAAAATCTATTAACAATACAGAACTTTATAGTTTCCTAATCACTAACTTTAATTTTCAGAAGTACTACCAGCTTTTTGGAATGTGTGAAAGCCTAGGACAGGAACTCTTAGTGAAACCCATTTTTCCCGATAGAATATTGGAATTCCTATAAATGAAAATTGTCAAAATAATGGGACAGGAAAGTGGCGAAAATGTTAGTGATTTAATGTGATCATATGCTTTCGCTTTTTCTTTATGGATTGGTCCATTAATGATTGTTTGTGACAAGTGAATATGAACTGCAGGTGTCCTTTTTAGATAAAGTGAAAGAATGCTTGGAGAAGCTCTTCAAAAAGATGAACCTGAAGAAATTATTTGCACCTTCGACAACAGGAGCGGTATTGTTTCCATTAATTAATCTAATCTAGGAAACAAACTTGTATATAAGAAGCTGCTTTACGTTGCTGCATAAAGTATTTTAAGGATCATTTTCTACCGAGCTTATGCACATCTTCCGAGTATATTTTGTAAGACCGGTCCTTATCTTATTGTAGAACCTGTTTTATAGATATAGCGTCTTGCAAAATTTAACCAATGTTGATTTATAAGTATGTTAATGAGGCAAATTGGGTGATCTGAATTTTGAGAAACCTAACAAAAATTAAAAGCGTGCATGTAGCAATCTAGCAATCAATGTAGCTAAGCTGTTTTTTTAATTTTGACTTACATAATGAAGTGTCCTCTTCATAGACCTTGTAGACAGTGTGTGTCAATTTGGTTGGCTTGAGAATAAGTATACTATGAAAATCTTACCAAGTGCAACTGCT